CCCCCTGCCCCCGCCGCCCCTCTGTCCCACTCCATATGCATGCATTGATTTTTTTCCATACAAAACAATGCTGCTGCCTTGACTCCCGAGAGCATACTAGCACGCTATGTGTAGAAAAAGGTCTCTTGGGAGATGTAGTTCTGGGGTTGTGCTTATGTCAGTAGCAACTGAGCTCTCAGCACCTGCCCCTGCAAGAATTGTGCATGCCTGGTTGATATCTTTCCTAATAGAAAGATGCTGCTGCCTCGACTCTCAAGAGCAAGCCTGCACACTGTGTGTAGGGAAAGGGCTCTTGGGAGATGTAACTCTGGGGTTGTGCTCATGTCCGCTCCCAGCAGCTGCCCCCGCAAGAGTTTTGCATGTCTGGTCGGTTTTTCCTTTCCATCAAGACAATACCGCTGCAGAAGAAACAGCTCTCATACGATGCGTAGGAAAGAGCTCTTGGCAGATGTAGTTCTGGGTGGTGTGTCCTGTCAATAGAAACTGAGCTCCCAGCAGTGACATGCCTGGTTGATTTCCTTCCCAGCAAAACAATGCTGCGGCCATGACTCCCAAGAGGCGGCCCAAACCCTATGTTTAGGCATGGGGCTCTTGGCAGCTGTAGTTCTGGGGGGCGTGTCTATGTCAATAGGAACTGAGATCCCAGCAGCTCCCCCTGGGAGGGTTTTTCAAGCCTGGTGATGACATCACAGGGAGCAATAAAAGCAGCTTCTCTGTACATATTTTAGCGGGGGTTGGGGGAGAGGGAGGTCCGGGGTTAGATTTGGGTCATGCAAAAAAGGTGAACAAATGCACTTTTTTTTTTTTGTTCATTTTCTGATTTTGGGCACATTCATAAAAATAAAAAGTGGACTGTGCCTTTAACTGGATGCCTGGCATTCACCTATTCAACTTGGTTTGCTGTTCGCAGCCGCTCGACGCGTTCACCCGCCAAAAGATCATTAAAGCTGTTCACATATCTGCCCTGATCATATTATCGTGAGGCTTGTATGCCATCGCCGTGTACACCGCTGCGGTATATGCAGCTACACACGTCAGCGTTCAGATTAGTCGCAGCCGCTTTGCGGCGTTTAAAAAACATAAAAGTAGATAATAAATTTTTCGGTTCACCTTCATTTTGCCTCCTAAAAATCCGTCTCCGGGCGCGGAAAATGAAAAACGAATTTATTAGGAGTGTTTGTTCTCCACTAAACAAAGACGGAACACCAACTTTTTACTTGTAAGAATGAAAAGCAAATACAATTATCGGCGTGTTGAGGACCCGCTCGGCGCCCGCGTTCCGCTCTGATTCAGCTCGTGGAGAAACGTCACGGCGTGTTTGTTTATGCCGCGCGATCGGTGATGGATGGTCTAAAAAAGCCGCTTACAGGAGCGCCGCCACCGCCGCCGAGTAGGAATACTCAGAGGCGCAATCCACGCTGCTGACAAACCAGGTTTATTTTATTCTAATGGAAAAGGATTACGGCGGCGACGGAGAGTGCGCAAACTCTGTCGCATTATCTGTCTTCCCGCGCCGATTTGACAAAGGCGACAAAAAAAAGACAAATGTTTCTTCATCTGGAAGAAGAAGCGACAAAAACCCGTTACTGGGAAAATGACTTCATGCAAACAACTTTTTTTTTTAAC